ATACTGGTTAAAGAGTTTATGCATATAAATATATTGTTGATTCTTACTCTCGAGAATCTTCTACAACTTTGGAGAATAGGTGGGAGTTTCGCAATACCTATCTAACATTATAAGCTATGTATGTTTCTAAATATAAACTTAATATAAACAACGTTCATATTATAATAAATACATAACAACAAATTTGTTACATCTGTTAATACAGATATATATATATACCTGTGTTTAATATCAAATAAATTTCTATCAAAGGTATTCAAAAGAAATGCATTTAACAACCTACCAACAATTTTGCTACAAGGTCAACTTTCCAATTGAAACGAATGTCAAATACTTGATTGCTTAGACGATCAATGATGATAGACACATCTGTGGTATTTAATCCTTCATGAAATGACTCAGCAATTGCAGAGAACAGTGACTTTCTGCCCAAATTTACAGAAATGTGATACCGATGGACTGGTGTGCCTGAAATATCAAAAGCTTGTAATGAAACAACTTATGAAATTCTCCATGATTACTTTCTCAAGATACTAAATTGATAGATCTTAACTTAAAAGTAAACATCCAGAGGAGAAAAAGTTTTTCAACTTGAACTTTGAATGCAACAGTCATGAGAAAAACAAATTAACATATTTTGAAACTAATAAATACTATAGAGTTGAATGTTGTTAGTGAGACATAAAACTTGCTACGATCAGGCTATAATTACAAAACAGATAATTTTCTTCACGAATTTAAAAACCAGATGTATATAAGCTCTGTCTTATCACTAATTTTATTGAATTATAACGCAAGCACTGAAGTTAGAAGAGAGAGAATATGTCATTTGCTACATATACTTTGGAGGGGATATGCCTCCATGAGATGTTTTGAGATGTTATATGCAAAAACATAAAAGAGTAGGTAATGCTAAAAACAAAGTAATGTTGTATATCTATGTGGTTTTTGAGTCCTTTTTAATTCACCATACAGTAACCTAAATTGATTTAGGTGTGTGAATAATGTTATGATATTATCCTACTTCTTTATTTAATATTATACAGCAGACCAATTGTCAAATGATGATAACTATATGTGCTACAATGTTTTTTTCTTTTTCAGAAAACGTAAAATTGAAAGAGAATCTGTGATGAAGAGGCCAATTACATTCATTGATTGGCCATACCCTCTGCTGTGGAGTGCAGTTTTGCCTGTTCAAGACTCATTAGCAAAGCTTGAGCCGGTAAACCAAAATAATACAGTTAGGCCACTTATAAAGGACTCAAAAATGCCATAAATATTATATACACACCGTTATAAAAGACTTACCTTTCCATACAAATAACATAAATAAGATTTTTAAAAAAATTACGACTAACAATGAACAAGTTACTGAACAGACTGAAAAATTAACACAGAGTAAAAAAAAAAAGTATGGAAACCATATTTGAAACCTGAAATTATGTCATTTTGATTTTTAAATTTAGTTGAAGTTTTCATGATTTTTAAATATGAAATGATGAGTAGCCCTACAAAAAATATACAAGTACTTTATCTAGACTCATTCAGGAACTAAAAATGCTTGAATTCCACTGGTCAAAAAACAATCAAATACAGGCCTTTTGTGATCAGGATCCTTCATAAGGACTGTAAACATGTCAAATAAACACCACATGGCAATAATTTAGTTTCTAAACAGTTTAATGTATTTATTTGTGATTAATGGCAATAACTTCACAACTATATGTACATGAATATTAATGTACAATTCTAATATTTTAACTTTCTGTATAAATAATCCAACTTCAAAAGAAAAAGTTTAACAGAATTTTTCTTTAACAATCTTGTAAAAGGAATACCAAAATTCTAGACTTGTAAAGAATTCAGAAATAATAATCAAGTAACATATATGATTTTAAAACCTTCATACTTTTTTTTTTACCTATGTGCAAATAATAGTGTGAAAAAATAGAAAATCACATATTCCTACCTATATGATCATAAACAGTAAATTCAATGTATGGTCTTGTGTAATCTATCATCAAACGAGCTCTGCTGTTTTCATTGTTCGTATCAAGATCGAAGTCAGCACTTAATTCTTTGCCTGGTACAATGTTATATCTACCTATTGCACTAAGTGACATGATTGGACAGTGATGCTTAAAACAAAAAAAAGAGAAGAATAACAATTTGTTAGTATATATTTTTTATTTTAAAATGTCAACAATGTAAACACACCCAAGTACTTTTTATTAAACTGACTATTTGTAGATAGATTTTTAATTAGTTTTATATCTTTTCTTGAGTAATTAAAAGACGAGATGAGCTTATAAATATATTTATGAAAAATAATGCTGAATTGCATAAAGATAAATAGAACTAAAAAAATTAAATAATGGACAAGAAAACTCATATAAAACAACAAAAAAACACAACTTTATATATCCTATGGAACATGATTTATCACATTAGTTGGCTTACAAATATGGATCAAATGTTTCCTTATTTATTGTCAAAAGACAGAGTGTGGCTTAACAATTAGTATGCTACACTATGAATCTGAGGATCCATGGTTCACATCCTGTTGCCTCAGAATTGTGCTTCACACTTTGGAGCAATGGATGCATTATAAGTGTGATGGTGAAATTCTAATACTGATCAGACTAGTTCAAAAATTGATCATGAGTGCAGCTGATTAGTTGCCTTTCCATCCAGTCTGTCAGTTCAAAATTAAAGAAGGCTAAGATCTGTGAACTCTAATGCTAGTAAACATTTTTCACATAGAATTTTTAGCTAATATATAAACAACTATAATTCTAACACAAAACATTTAGTTTATACTCTCTTTGGCTCAAACCAAGATTGAAGTTAGAATTTACTTGTCTGACTGATGCAATGGCAGGAAAGTTTTACCTCTTGAGCTTTACATCATTTTAAAGGGATATGTATAATTGTGTAATTTTCTTTTATATACTGAGCAACTAAACCTTTTTTTAAATAGACATATTCAATATAAAAGACCACTTGTCATGTAGATATGTGGTGGATAGTGTAAATTGTTAGAAAGTGTATTATTAACAGCTACTAAAGGGTTAACACAGTCAGTAGAGCACCCAAAAGGTCCCAAGTTTGATAGCATGCTCAGGAAATTAAAAAGTAGATTATCACAAATTGGCATCTTGTGAGTGGTCATCTTATGACACTGAGGATAGGCCTTGTTTGTAAGGGGAAATGGATATAATAGTTACAGCTGCTAAAAAGTGCCAAATGTTAGGGAGGTTAACCCTAAGTTCAGTTGGTAAAGCATTTGCTTGATGTATGAGATTCAGTCATGCTTGTGAAAGATGCAAATATTGAGATACTACATATGTAAATTTTTTTTTGCAATCCAGATGAGTTGTATACTTAATATATTTAAAGCATATGGGACTAAAAATATGTAAAATTTACTGGTGGCATCATAAAAGGTATATTTCACTATATAAATTCAAATGTTTACCCGAAATTGTATCCATCTATCCTAAACAATGACTCTCAAAACAACATAATAAGCTGTATTATTTAATAACCATATCTGGTATCAAAACTTGTGCAACATACCCAAAAGTTTATTAATTTTCTGGATTGGTCAACTTCAATCAAAGCAAGACTTTTCTTTCTTTCTCCAGTTTCATCTACCCACTCCCACTCATATCCATTGGTTTCTCTATCTCTATGGTTTCCAGAGTTTAGTTTGAGTTTGATGTCAAACTTTCTCCTATCTAACAAGTAACAAAAAATAAACACATCATTTTAGTATACATTTTAGCAAGTGCAGTAGTAATAATTCTCTGTAGTGTTATTTTTTTTAAAAAAAAAGATCAAGAAGAGTTTATTTATTCAAAACTTTAGAAAATAAAAGTATTATTTGTCTGAAGTCTTAAGGCGTAAATAAACAATGCTGCATATTATTTAGATCAAGATCAATAAACATGTCCTTATGGTCATGCAACAAATTTAAAATACTTGGTGAAACATGTTTCATAATAAAAGTGGTTTGTTATGATGACTAAACAAGATTCAATACTATTATTTTGTTGTTTTTCCATTAAAGAATACAACAGAAAATGTAACCCTATTTTATTTGAATAAAACATAAATACCCCAGAGTTCACATCCTTAGTTAAAAATCAATTTCCAAGAATGTTCCACCATTGTCATACCTTTTCAATTTTTTTTTTAATTTTATTTAACTAATCACATTTTTATTAAATTGTTTGTTCAATGAAATGATTAATTGTTATTAAATCAGATATTACATTTAATTAAGTTGCATTTTTTCATGACTTTTCCAGAATAGTTATGTTTTTCTTCATTTTTCCATAATTTTTCTAGACCTGAAAACTAATTTTAAAACCTCCTAGGTTTGTCATGATGCATGAGAATAACATGCACACTTACAGATTACAGAACTGAAGAATTACCTGCATTATAGATGTTGAATACAAGTGATCTATTGTAAACATCATTATTAACAGCTTCAAGAAACACTTCTCCAATAATCGTGTCTGATGGGTTATTGCTATAATCAACCACAACTTTGGCTAAAAATGATTTTGGGAATGCATCTTTACTGTCAAACTGCACAGTAATGACAATGGGCTGAAAAGAAAACAATATATATATAGACTTATATTTTGAAAAAATATTTGGTAAAAGTCTAAATACTGTAAATTATAATAAATACCATATTTGCCCGAATATAATACGCACTTAATTTTGAGAGATTGAACAAAATTTGTTTCTTACACATCATTTGTATAAAATGTAGTGAACAGCTTCTAACTGGAAATTTTTTGGGAGATATTTGGAGGAAAAAAAGCATGCATTATATTCGGGGAAATACAGTATTATTTTTTATCATTTTGTTTACAAAAAGGTTACATTTCTTAAAGTTTTCTTTTACATTTCAGTTCAAACTTTGAGGTAACATTAATACATAAAGCCATTATTTAATGATCAGATACTGTCAAGTAAAATAATTATTAATAAATATTATGAATGGATACAAAAAACAATATATTTCCATATTCCAACAATGAATTATGTTATAACAGGTATAGTTGATATATCACTGGTAGTATTCTATTATGTTTGATATATACCTCTTACAATAATTCATGCATTCATTTGACTAAATATATTATGGCTTTCTATATAGTTGATTTTCATGCAAGAACTTAGTAAACTGCCAACTTCACTAGTTTTAAGTTTACATACATAACAATCAACTTTATTATAATGATTTATAAAACTATTTGACGTCTATTGGGTTCTGATGTTAGTTTTCATACTTTAATGACAACTTCTGTATCTTTTTTAACGAAACCAATCTATAATAATAAAATATAAGCAAATTCTGAGATAAGGCTGCTATGTTTTGCTTTGTTAAAAATCATTAAACAAAGTAACTCCATACTACATTAAGGGGAGGCTATCACTACATGTATGAGTTTAATTTTGTGACAATACATAAGTGTTTGTTTCTGTTTGTTTATTGTGAAACAATAAGTTATGCAATGAACTATCTGTGCTGTGCTTACCATTGGTATCAAAACCCAGTTCTTAGTGTTATAAGCCTTCAGCCTTACCACTAAGTCAATGGGATGAAACTCATAAATGGTAGTGAATAATTTCATTGTGTTTTGGTATCCATATGCTAATATGCATATTATTTTCAATATTATTTATACAAAGCTGACAGATGGTGTGCAATCTCTAAAGTTGTTGGTACAAACTAATTCTATGACTGTTTATTTTCATGCATCACAGATTAGGTTTGAAAGCATGATTTGAAATGCAATTTAAATTTGGTGAAGTAGCATAAAATCTCTTTGCAGAGATAAAAATAAAGTTTAAAATTTTAATTTACTCACAGTAAAAGAGAAAAAAAAAATCTTACTTTTCTTAGCTCTGGATGTTTTATGATGATTTTTCTCTGGAAGTTTTCACTAAACAGTTCATTATTCTTAAGTACATTGACTGTCAGTTTGTTTAAAGGTTCTCTTTCAACATTTGTAATAATTTCAAAATTTGTCTCATCATTATTACTAATACTGTGAATTTCCATTGTTCGAGATGCCAAGAAGATTTTCAATTTGGAGGTATATTCTGCTTTATGTTGTATTTGTGCTTCATATCCCAGTTTCTTGTTATCTGATCCAAACACTACCATACTCTCATAACTGTAAGGATCAGCATGAATGAGGAAGTCTGCAGATAGGTGTAATGTCGAACATAAGCGAATTAATCCTCTTGCTTCGTAATGCATATAACCTTGAATGGGTCTATATGGAATTTTTAGAAAATAATCTAAAATAAGACAATCGACAGGTCCTTGTGAAGTACATATGCGAATTACATGATGGGATTCTTCATGTGACACATTTGAATCTATGTGTATTGTAAAATGTGTAAATGAGCTGCCTCTTACTGAAAGTTCATATAACCTTTCACCCTTTCCTTTGATTTGATTTATAACATCAAAATTCAGCACCTCTTCATTGTCATAATTAAAACCTAAATTTGCAGTAAATCCTCTTCTTTTATTTTCTCTAACGATTTTAACAGATGCCACTTCTCTGGCATCTTTTTTGAAGCCTGCATCAACTCTGATACCATCACCACTACTGTTGGCTCGAACATATGCATTATACGATGGTGTATACTGTGTCTCTAACTGAGCACTGCTATCAAAGTTTTTCCAGTCACTTATATCAAATTTACCACCAACATTTAATTTTTTCTCATTGTTCACATCAATAACAGTTTCTGCTAAATAGCTTCCTGGTTTAAGGTTATATCTTACTTTGAGCTTAGCCATATAAAAACTAGAGTATGGAGTGCTGATGGAAGAAACAAGCTTTACTCCATATCTATTTTTTTCTCCTTTCGTGTTCATATGTATTTTCTTACCAGATCCAAATGTGATATCTGTATCTACTTTAAAGCTTTTAGATGTATAATCTCCATTGACTTTAATATCTTGAGATCTCCATTCATCATGTGGAGTAGTAACTGAAGCGCTAGCATCAAAGTTACCAGAAGACCAGCCCTTATTATGTAGAAAATTGATCCCTGCGTTGTACCCTTTTGTACGAGAACTATGTACTAAAACTGCAGTATTCACAGAAGAAACCGATGAAGATAATTCATGCGTGTGGCTCATGTGGAACTTTTTGCCATCAATACTTTCATATGGAGACTCAAAAGAAATACCTCCATTCATTTTGACAGTAGACCCTTCGTTATTATACTCACCAACAGCTTCTACTTTGATAACTTCTTTATAATTTACCTTGCATGAAAGGTTTGATTTCATTATTCCATTAGAAACTGTATGATTAGCAATAAATTCAATCTTATTGTTTTCCATTTGAATTTCCAGTTCAAGATTATGTGGTCCTTCCAAAATATTCTTATTGGCATCCCCAGAAAAGTCTACAACTACATCATTTTTATATTTCATCTTTGCCCACAAGTTATATTCAGTATCTCTCCAACTTGGATATGTTTTAGATCCAATTTTAATGGTTAATTTGTCACTGGGATTTTGATTAGCATCCCAAGAAATATCCATTTCAAAGTTCCTGATGTAAGAAGATGGATTTCTAGTGTAGGTAACTGTACCAAGAATTCTTCGGTCATAAGATGAGTGAGATCTTTGACTTAATGGTTTGACATGCAAATCAAGTTTTGCTGTTTCAGATTCATCAGAGGATTGAATTCTCATGGTACCTTCTAAGAATGGAAAATTCAAACGCACTTCTGATGGTCCATTTCGAGCTAGTTTGACATCAATAACCATTACAGGGTTTCCTTCATACTTAGTGTGGCTTTCAAGGTTAAAAGCATTTCTGTTCATACGGAGCAGGCCTTTGTAATGGAGAGGAAGTTTCATACCCGGAGTTTCTATAGTAGCTTCAATTTCATTATGGGATTTGTGTTTCCTACTTTTACAACGATATGCGTAACCAACGTTAATATCCTCTTCACTTGGCAATTTGAGATAAAATTGGCCCTGATATTCTCCATTTGATCCTTGTATTAAATTTCTGATTATGATCTTTGGTTGCTCTGGCCACTCCACTGTAGATTCCCCATATATCTTTAATGGGCCTTTTGTCTTTTGCTCATAATCTGTTGTAAGCTTTAGATGCTTCTCATGATCATATTTGAAGACAACACTGACATTATACTTTAGATTGGAAGATATAAGTGCTTTTGTGGTTACATTTAGACCATAATCAATATCCCATGCTGGTGCGATGATTTGGAATACATTCTCAGAATCAATCTTGAAACCTTGTGACTGATCTACCTTAACCTTTGCAACGTGGAATAAATGGATATACTGGTCTTCATTATGAAAGTTATCTCCATAGTAGAGTTTTAAGTCATTTTCACTGTGGTCCTGTTCTTTGTACTGAGTGTCCCAGCTCAAGTTCCAATTGTACTCAGGATACTGACTAAACTGAACTTCAGTGGTAGTTTTGTACTTTCTCAGAGAAGATGTTCCCAAGTTCAGTACTTTGGAATTCATTTTTATGGTATGCTGATTCTGTCTTTCATTTTGATATTCAACTGTTAAATCTGTGGCAACACTTCTCTTCTCCTTTTCCACTGTCCCAAAGAGATGAGCATCAAAAGACAGCAAACTAAAAGATATATCTGTACTTAATCGGAAAGACTTTTTCAAATCCGAGAGCCACTCACTACCTTCTTTCACAATATTACCTGAAAATAAAAAGAATACCTAAACTCAGCAAATAAAATTTAACATTATCTATGTGGCTTTGAGTCCATTTATCGAACCGTATAGTAACTTAAAGAAATCTTAAACATATATCTACAATATTTAACTTTGTTTGGAAAATTGTTTGAGAAAGAATATAATACAAAATCAGAAGAAAAATTATACTACAATAACACTGATATTTGATTCTAAATACTCTTTAGTTATTATGTATGTTCACTAAAAATAATTACAGGCATAAGAGCATAATCAATTTAAATAATTTTTAAAGTAATGTTACATGCTTTACTAATTTATGATCATATTTCCATACATTTGTAGTATAAATTGATTTTTCTCCCATTTTCATTTAATATCAAAATTTAAAACTATATTCATATAGTTAATAACAAGCTATGTTTGTCATTATGCATAACCTACTTCTTGAACCACTTCAAATTTTTAATAATTACTAAACTCCAAAATGTATGAAGTTCATATGATTCAAACCTTCCTCCTTTCTAAGCATTATTAAGAGATGTCATACAGCAAAATCATATTATGTGATGAATTAAAATAATTTTATTTTTCCAATGCTAGAATAATACATACAGTTTTTAAAATATTATGATTAGTACACATATCATTAGGTTTAAGAATAAAATAATATTGTTTAAAGTAATTTGATATGATTAGCATGTTAATATTTTAGGGACACCAACCAAGTTGCACAGAGATTTCTATCCTAACCAGTTTGGCTACTTTAAATAAACTTATAAAGCTAATATTTTATATTCTTCTGTGAACAGAGGCATGTCAGATCACATTTTTTCTAAAGACAAAATTAAAATGACTAATTTGTTGTGAAAGCAGATTAAATTATTTCTTCATATTTACCATATACTTTAGACATTTTAAGCTAATTATTCATGACTGTATTGTATATTTTGAGTTTATTAGTAATGAAAGTAGCTTGTCACACAGATGAGGTAATCTTTTACAGGAAACTATTTGCATGTACCTTTAATTTAATCTAACATGCAAAAGTTATAATTTTCCTATACTGAAAATGTATTTCCAACAGGTACTTACCTCCTTTCACATAAATAGCTATTCTCATTCAGAGCTACTCTCTATATACAAAAAAAAATGTTTGTGCATGCCACAAGCCTTGAAACTCCCACCCGTCTGGAATGACAAATTCCAATGTATCTCGTATTCTCCTTCACCAATAAGAGTGCATGTGACTTCCTCTATTCAATTATTCCAAACTATCACTTCGAGTGTTGGCAGAAAATGGAAGCATCAGTTTTCAATGGGGATGAAGGGTGGGAAGTGTGAGGGAGGGAAGTACCTACCAGAAATACGTTTTCAGTATAGGAAAATTATAACTTTCAATACGATACATTACCTCTTCTCACATAAATAGCTAGAATCCCACATTGAATAAGATAAGAGGAGGAACCATTGCAAGGGAAAGAAAGAAGCATCCTTCAATAGCCTCCAAAAGGAGATCTTCAGAGTCAAAGATCCTATGTGGGAGACCGCGCTACTTCTTAACCAGGTATACTCTTTGCCGATGGTGGAAAGATGTTGCATATATGGGCAGAAAGATTGAGGAGCACGTACAAATGGGAGAGAATTATGGCAGAATAGGATAATGATCTGAACCATACATTACTTATTAACCTCAATCCCTGAAAACTTAAATACAGGTAAGATTAAAGGATGTGTCTCTTGGTGCAGATGGACTGTACACGCAAGCCAACTACAATCAAAACCTATGCTGCTGGTAACCGACATTCACACAGGGGTAGGATGAGGATCATACTGTTGGCAAGTTAACTACAATCCAAAACTCAGCTATCTGGTGGGGGTAGGAAAGAGGATCATATAGCCTTCACCTCAAGTTCCTGAGACTGGAGGGGAATCTTGTACCCCCCCCCCCCAACCTATGAACAGGCACATGATAACAATGTGAGAAACTGAATGATCAATCCAAGAACCCTACATCTAGCAGAGAAAAGTTGTCTGTTTAATGTAAAACATCTCATTCAAAGATATAATGACTGCCACCCCAAGCACAGTAACATCCTTGGAATAATAAGCATCGAGAGATAGTGGAAAGGGAAGAACCATAGTAATCTGAAGTACATCTACCATGACCACAACACAGATGGAATAAAAAGAGTATAAATGAGTGAGGGAATAGAGACATCTGTGAAACAAATGTGAGGACGTATGTTGACCGACATCCACGTGGGGGTAGAATGAGGGATCCCAATCAAAGAGGTGAACTGCAATTTTGACAGCTCACTCCCATTTTACATAATAGACGATATCTATCATCTACACCAGCAGAACACCACTGTCCTACTATGAACTGAATGGTTTTAGAATCATTTATATGTATTATTTGTATTTCATTAACACATTCAGGAGAATGCCTCCACGGCCCACCATCTCAGAGGCAAGGAACTAGAAATTGGTAAGGACTCTCAAACTCCACTAAAAGAAAAGGGGGGGAGAAAGCATGGTGCGGAGTCCAGAGGAATGACAACACCTGCAATGGGTGACCATGAAACCCTGTTTTGAACAGCAGACCATACCAATTTATTCAATACAAGGCATAGCAGGGATGAGCAGCTATCCACTTCTGCTTTACCTATGTAGTGTATGGGTGAATATGGTTCGGGACAGACAAATTAATGAAGCAAATATATTGCAAAGATAAACCTACAAACAATCTTGTGGAACACCCCATCTCCAAAGTGTGTGTTGTGTGGCCATGGAATTATAACTGTTAAGTTAGCAGAGTGGGATCCAGAAGGAAAAAGAGGGACATGCTCCTGAAAAAAAAGAGGTAACTTACCTAGTCTCATGAAAGAGTGAAGGATGGCAACAGGTGGATGACAGTACCCCAACAACAAAGAAACAGCTACCTAAAGCAGAGAATGTATGAAATGTAGACCCAGTGCTTGACATACGAAGTACTTCCAACAGATGGCAGGGTAGATATGCAGGGAAAAGGAAAGTTGCATGAATGGAGTGAAGACACCCGGAAGTGATGATGGGAAAAAGGAGACAAGGAATAAAAGGCAAATCGAATCAAAATCCAAACCCAATGGGTAAGGGAGGAAGGGAAAAATCACAGACAAAGAAGTGGAGTAAAGAGAGGAAAATTGACAAAATCTAAATAGTCGGAAAATGGGTTCAGCTGTTATAGGAATAAGGTGAGAAATACTGGGAGCAGGTAGGGTTGACCTCAGTCTCCCGAGACCCTCTCAAATGAAGTTAATGGTAAGAAGTATAAATTACAAATGAAACAAAATTAATGGTAAGAAGCATAAACGATAAAGAAAGATGAAAATGAAATAGCTGATATAGTGGAAAAGTTAAGAAATTGTATATTGAAATAAATGTATGTATGGGATATTATGCATTGAAGAAAAGATATTTAACTTAAGTACTGATGAACACTTGCATAGAACCACGGGTAAGCCAAAAATAACAAACACTTATTAAGCCAAATCAAACAAGATATTTAACCTAATTATCAATTAACCTGGAAGTAGAACTACAGTTAAACCAAAAAGAACAAACCCTTGTAAAGCCTAATCGAATAGTACAGAACAAAGGATCCACTAAGTGCTAAAATAAAAACTTAACCTAATAATAAGTATGGATAATATTGGGAGAAGTATGCATGAACACAATCTCAATGGTTCCATACAAACCAAGTGAATTGGAAAAAGGATAAAAGATAAATAATATCGAAAATAAAACAGACGTGATGTATGGAATAAAAAACAATATAGTTAAACTAATGATTGATATACCAGTAAAATGAATTATAAGGAATCTTAAAATAACAAAGATTACGGTAAGCCTAAGTGAATGGTATAGAAGAAAAGATACAACTAAGACTAACCGCTAACCTGAACTTGACTATGAGTATTAACCAATGTAACGAAATTTATGTTATGGAACCAAAATAACTACAGATAATAATTTTAACAATAAAATTATTCAAAACTATAACAGTAGCACATATTATCTTTCCAAAGTCTGCAGACTGTATTTCAAATGTGTTAGCCCCCAAAATTGAGGCAAGGCCAGAAGAAAGTCAGTTCATTGGACGATCAATCTCCCAACGAAGTAAAGCCAAAAATCTTTCCATGGAGTACTGTGACCTGAAGCCTGCGTAAATGTGCTAATAGAACATATATAACCTCTGAAGTGGTAACATAGAAATCATAATGCAAAATAAATAATCAAATACAAAAGTTTTTGTAATGAAGTAACAAGTTCCATAACTGGGTAGAAATATAAAATAATTCCACTATGAAATAATTCAACAAGTTACAAATATCACTATTGTATAATAATGAGTAAACTTATTGAAAGAAATTAAACCAAAAATATGGAAAAAATTAAAATAAAACACTTGAAAAGAGTGCAAACTAAACATTATAACACAAGTACTGCCAAGCAAGAAGTGACAGTTTGGCAGAATTGAATAAAGGGAGTCACATGCATCAAGAGAGTGTGTCGTGCTCTTATCATTGGTGAAGGATTGTAGCATAAAAATTCGTCATTCTAGTGAGTGGGAGTTTCAAGGCTTGTGGCATATGCAAAACAATTTTTAGCATAGAGAGGGCAACACTGAACAAGAATAGCTATTTATGTGAGTGTAGGTAATGTACCATATCGGAAGAAAAAAAATTGGTGTTTGACTTTGCACGTTCAGTCACACAATAAAGAGTTTACATGTCAAACTTTAAGTGTGTTTGATAGACCATTTAAACAAAAAATGTTATTGTTAACTGGAAATCATGTGGCAACACAAAAATGTTTTTGAAAAAAATGAATCGTCAAGACAACTGACATATATCTAGTTTGTTTACAATAAGATGCATGATTATATACAAGAGTTTGTTTGTAATTAAGCACAAAGCTACACAATGGGCTATCTGTGTTCTGTCCACCATGGGTATTGAAA